ATAAATTTGCTTATATTCTTTTTTTCTGCCCTAGGGTGAGGAGATGCTGCTAGGCATTGTGATTAATGGCCTCAAGGACAGCGCCCTGCAGAGCCACATCATCCGGAATTCCAGCAGGCTTAAGTCGTTTTCGGACGTCAAGACGGAACTTTTGGAGATCTCGTGTCCTCCAAAATCTCCCGCAGCCGATGGATCTTGGCGCACGGCAAGGGCAAGGGCAAGGGCAGCAAGGGCAAAGGGAAGGATCAGGTGAGGCAAAATGGCCTGCAATTGCTGAGGTGTCCGAAGCCTCACGAAGGCCAAAGGCCAAGAAGATACCTGACACAGTGAGCAAAGCTGAGTTGGATGAGCATATGCTCACACATCTTCCAATGAGAAGCTGGTGCGACCATTGCATGAAGGGCAAAGTGAGGGAATCAAGCGGGCGAGCTTCAGAAGTTCCTCGCATTTCCTTGGACTACTGCTTTTTGGGACGAGCCCTGAAGGGCGAAGTGAAATCAGTAGAAGGAGGTGAAGGTACCGCAAGATGAGAAGGATGGACTCCTTCCCATTCTGGTGATTGTGGATGAGAAGTCTGGTTGTGTCTTCTCTGGAGTTGTGGCCAAGGGTGTTAACGCACATGCCACAGGATTGGTGGCCGAAGCCCTGCAGTTTTGTGGTCGCCAAAAGGTCATCATGATGACAGATGCTGAGCATAGCATCAAAGCCTTAGCAGAAAGTGCTGCTAAGATCTGGAAGGGGATCGAGTGTCCAACACCAAACAGCACCGAAGGGATCACATGCATCAAAGGGCGCGGCCGAAAGAGCCATTTTGGAGTTGGCTCGCCAGGTGCGTACCCTTGCAAGTGCTTTTGAGAGCCATTACAAGAAGCCCCTGGGGACAGGGGGGAACATCTTTCCGTGGTTTGTGCGACACGCGGGTTGGCTTATCTTGCGTTTTCTTGTGCCCAATAGACCAGGTTAGACAATTTTCTGACTGTTAGTTAACACTTTGTTTTCGACGAAATTTGTCTAATCGGTATTTTGTTGTTTTTCCGATTTCGGCAATTTATTGCAAGCAAATTTAGACGAATTCGCTTCCCAAACTTTGACGAAGTAGTGAAAATTCCTGGATTTCGGCAAATTTCTCGTGGTTCGCAGAAGCGGAAGTTTGACGGAAGTTTGGTTGAAATTTCAACTAAACTTCCGTTCGAGGGGGCGGAAGTTTGGTGGAAGTTTGGTTTCCTTTTTATCTTTACAAGCGGAAGTTTGGTTGAAGTTTAATAGATTGCCCGACAGTTGAGCACGAGCTCAAGTTGAAGCACCTTGGAAGGTACTTGAAGAAGTACCCTAAGGAAGTGTGGCACTTCGACTACCAAGAACAGCCTGAGGAGGCTGTGGTGCTTACGGACTCGGACTGGGGAGCGTGCAAGCGCACGCGCAAGTCGATGTGCAGCTATGCTGCGAGGTTCGGCAAGCATCTAATCGGTGCTTCTTGCACCAAGCAATCAGTGATAGCACTCAGCTCTGGTGAGGCTGAATTTTATGCCTTGGTGAGAGGCTCGGCAGCAGGACTGCTTACGATCCAGATCTGGGATCGTGTAGGCTTCCAGGGTATGAAGCTTACAATGAAGACCGACTCAAGCGTTGCGAAAGGGATCGCAACAAGGAAGGGCTCAGGGAAGGTCAAGCATCTTTCCATGAAGGAGCTCTGGATACAAGACTGTGTCCAACGCAATCAGCTCAGGGTCCAGAAGGAGTCTACTAAGACGACCTGGGCTGATTTGGGAACGAAAGCGCCGTCGGGTGACAGAGCTAGTCAAGGGCATGCCGCTTACGAGGGGCTTGGTCATGGCGTGCCTGTTCGCCTCCTTTGGCTTGGCTACGGGGCAGCCGAAGGAGGACAAGAATGAGAAAGCCGACGTCGGATTTTTCCTCTACGTGCTGATCATCCATATCATTGCGATTCAGACCATTGGCGCTGGATCACATCCGCAGTTGCGTGGTGCATGCAGCCACGTGACCCAACGAAGACGGCCACCGCAGGCCGTGTGAACCGACGAGGTCTTGGACAGAACGACCAGGTCTACACTACCCGTAAGGGCAAGAAGTTTCATATGAGACACTGTAGGCACCGGGGCCACGGTCACGTCAACATGTTGCAGAGGGCTGATGCCATTAACCGTGGTTTCAGGCCATGTACAGACTGCAACCCGTAGGTATTGCCTGCTGGCTGCCCAGCTCAAGGATTCAGCTGGCCATGGAGGGGTGTCAGGACGCATAGCCTATTCTGAGTCCCATGCTGTAAAGCGAATATGGGGAGCCCCTTTTAGGTGAGAAAAAAGTAGCCCGTGCCTGTGTGTGTGTGCGTGGTTTAAGGGTCAACCTAGACCCTTGCAGTCGTGCAACCCTGAAGAATACTAAGCCGTTTAGACTAATGGTCTTAACCATGTGGAGAAGCGTTACACCATTAAACCTTTAAACTTGTGGTTTTCCCCCATATTATGGAAACCCATTAAACGTTTCAACTTCTAAGCATGTAAACCTTTAAACCTATGGTTGGGCCCATGTAGGACAAGGATAGGTTTAATGGTTAACGGGTTTCCGTACGGGCGAAAACCATAGTTTTAAAGGCTTGAGCGTTTAAAGCTTTAAAGCTTATCCACAGGGGTGGAGATGCCACTCTACTGTTTCGAAATATAGGTCATGGCTCGAAACCTTTTTTACATCATTGCATAACAAAGCAATCAAGAACGTGTAGATGATCATGACGTAAAGGACGGCATGTGTAAAAAACAATGGTGGGTGGATGCCCTGGTACCCAATTTTCTGATACCCTTCTTCTTTGTGCCGTCGAGGTCTGTGTCCATAACAATTGCGGTGGGTCAGCGTTGGCAACATCTGGGAGTCGTAGCGTGCCGAGATCACGGATCAACAAATCCGGATGCTATCTTTCGTGGCCTCCAATCCGTCGTCTACACCTTTGAATCCCTGTGTCGTCTCGGATTCGCAATCTGCTCTCAAATTCTGTGGGCGTCGATCGGTGCAACTATGTGTTCTATGCTCACATGCCAGCAAAGCCCATAGAAAAGACACTCTCTACGTGTGTGTTGAGGGGCTTCTCGAGGGGATGCGAAAGCGCGGCCGCATGCATGATGAGGTTCTGCTTTTTGGACATATGATGGAGTTATGATGGGTAAACAATACAGAGAGATTTGCAAGAAGAAGTTCAGTGATAAGATTGCCGGACAAAGCAAAGACAATAACTTCATAGAGTCATAGAGAAATATAGAGAAGACGCAGAAGTCGAGGACAACAACCTTGCGGACACCGTCTATCGATTGACCCTCAGCAATGATGTTAATGATGGAGACCAGGCTCTTGCCTATATCAACCATGAGTAACGAGCCCATGCCGTTGTAACACAGCATCTCCCGACATTTTGTCAGATTCGATGGATGATTAGTGTCGTGAATTGTAAGGCTCCGGTTCGACGCTTCTGTTAAAACACTTACTTGTTTTGCAGCTCGACGTGGGCGGGTGTCAATTCCTATAAGCCCAAAACCGTTGTAAGTCATGTTCTCATTTCAGGTAGCTTGCTCAAATGGTGGTTCCTGGCTCAAGGTAACCCCAAAAGGTTAACCACATAAAGGAAATACAATTTTCATGAAGGCAGAACTGCAAGTGAGCTTGACATCGAAGAGCGGAAACAACACGTTGCTTTGCTGGCTTGTGGTGATTCGCATTGATCCCCAGTCGCAAGTTTGCTGTGGGGACGGCCAGAGATCAGGTACGTACGCAAAATAACGCTCTGGCAGCCCGAAGCAGCTATGCTGGGAGATGGCCATAGTGTGGTTGAGGCTGCGATGGAATTTGGCCATTCCAACAACATCAATACGTCCAGTGAACGAGCAAACTTGGGCGCTGCTTTTGAGTGCTATTGAGGCAGCAACGGTTTGCAGCTGTTCTGAGTAATTATTGAGAGCTGACCCCGAGAATCTTTTCTTCGATGGCTAGCTCAGAACCAGCGTTCAACATAGCGCTCTGTTCTAGAAGAACTTGGAAAAAGGTCCTTGGCGCGAGCAGACCAGAGACTGGACTGGGGCCCAGTGCGAAGCAGTACGAAGCAGTGGAATCCGAGCCATCGATCCCAAATCGACACGAGGTCCGTGAACGGCGCCAGCGGATGGATGAAGATCCTGTAGAGTATGAGGCTCTCAGATTTCTCGTGAGGTGATGTTGTTGAGCTTCCCCGAGCGAGGAACGAGTGGATCGATTCTCGATGTTTTTGCAGAAGTCCATGGTAGCGGAAGTGTCTCAGGCCTGCGCAAAGATGGTTTGGAAGATCGCATGAAACTCCGTTTTACGGCCTAGGTGGGAGATGAGCGCCCGTTGACGCAAGGCAAGTTCTCTCCCGATGCATCGCTTTTTTGCACGTCTTCATGGCCTCGGCCTGAACTCGGCCTGAACTCGGCCTGGGCCCTGGGCTTTTTGATGAGGAGAACTCAGATACGCTGAGGTCTGGCTTCATCAAGCTATGGAAGACCCCGTCTTGTGATCCTGTCTTGACCATCCGCGTCGGTGAAGACAGGCCAGGCTCGTTGGTGGCAGCGTGGCGCAAGCAGCCATCTAGAGTTTTTGGGGTACGAGCAAGTACAGCCTAATTGAAGCCATTGTTGCTCACCCTTGTCACTTCTCACCCCAGTGCCTGCTTCTGACGCATTCAGCTGCGAAATGCAACACTGCATGTCATGTCCGCACGAAGTTGTTTCTCTAGCATCTGATCTCTTGCGGAGGTGCAACAGTGTGGCATGGCACCCCAGTTGCAAAGGCACGCCTCCGTTCGAGGGCCCCTCGGCAAGGTTCAGCTATTTTGTGCGTAGAGAGAACGTAGCGGCTAACTCGGCTAACGGCCACTTCAAGGCAACACCGTCCGCCTGGCCTCGGCCTCTGCAGACTCCAGGAGCCAAGAGAGACAAATCACAGAGCGCCGTAAGCCATCGTAAGCCGTGAGCCGTCACAGAGTTGACTTCTGACCTTGGCTTTCAGGATCAGCCTGTGGTCTCTGTCAGACAGTCAGCCCGTGAATGTGCTGGAGGGTCACGAGGACCAGCATGTGTACAGCATGGACACTCTCGAAAAAGTGCTACGCACGAGGATCGGGTCAACAGAGTGGTGCTCGGGAACCCAGATTCTGATTCTTGGCTTACGGCTCAGATGTCACCACCTGGCAGGTTCCACCCCATGGGCGAGCATGTCGTTTCGACATCTCATGTGGGCTAAGCTGCAGCCTTCGTTGAAGGAAGGGTTCTGTGGCGGAAATGTCAGGACATGAGCTGGCGACTCTGGGACGTGGAAACCACCACAGAGCTCCTGCTACAGGACAGCGCTTCTCGTGCCTCTTCGTCATAAGCCACCTTGTCTGAGAGGAAGGTCACTCACGGCCAGTGTATGGTTGCTCCGTGCACCCGGACGGTTCTCTAGTGGCAACCAGCGACCTGGGCGGCGTCGTCCGGGTGAAGATGCTCAGGGGCGAAATGTTTCAAGGCATGCTGCAAGGCGCTGCAAACGCTGAGGTCTGGGATCTTCGAAGTGGCAAAACTGTCATGCCTTTGGCAGCACACGGCAAGCAGGCCTTTCAATGATGTCATGTCGCTTTGTGGTTCACGTCCAAAGCGAGGTGCTTGCTGTTGACTTTCACCCTCGCGGCACAGTCCTCGCGACGGCGAGTGACGATCACAGCATGCGTGTCTGGGATTTGCGGAAGAGGAGGTGCAACTTTCAATGCGAGGTGTTAGAGGAACTGCGGATCTATGGCAGGTGCACTCACAACCTCTTGCTGCATAACAAGCTCATCTCAGAGGCACAACACAGACCATGCCCTAGCCGAAACAAGTGCTCGCGGCTTTTAAGGGGCCCTTTTTGAAGGTGAGCTTTGAGAAGGGCGAGGGGCGGCTGGTCCTGACATCAAGCTATGATGGCACGGTCAAGATCTGTTCAACCACGGACTGGAAGGTGGTCAAGGCCCACTCGTTTCAGCAGTTACACGGCTCTCAGCATTCTGCGCTCTATTCAATTTTGGATGCTTCTAGGTTCTTATCGGCCACGAGGGCCGTGTCATGGGAGCTGACCACATCCCCGCTGCCGTGGGCGGCCGCTGGGCTGAAGCAGGGCAAGGCAAGTGACAGCTGTTTTGTCCTTTGCATTAGGCCACCACTACATTGGCTCCGTGGCCTTCGACCGGACCCTGAAGTTTTGGTCCACGCAGGCTTGCCAAGCTCTGCACAACAGTAAATGATTTCTCCCGACCATTACCTGATGTTGCCAGGGCAAAGCTGAACCTCCCGTGGATGCCACAGCCTTCATGACGTGAGCGCGTATAAGTGAAAGTGCTACATAGCCTATCAGCAACGCTTTGAGAAGCTGCAGGCATCTGTGCAGTGCGAGAAATTAATGGCAGCAGCAGGCATTTCTGTAAGGTTGCTGCCGCATGCAGGAGAGGTCAGCGTTTTAGTCCTGGCAGTTGGACGTATCCTCAACTCTTGGCTGAAGGAGCTTGATTCATTGATTGTTGTGGGCAGCAGGTCTTGCATTCTACAACATCAGGTCATCTTTTGCTTTCAGCAGCGCTTCCGTAAGTGTTAACTTCAACTCAAGCTTCGGTGTGAGCTATGTCGAAAAGCTTTGCAGGCACGCGGCACGCTGAAGCCTTCTTGAAGGGACTGTTATTCTCAGGAAAGAGTTTCCAGGAACTAGCCACTAGGACTGCCGTTTCCCATATCAACATGGACTATAGAGGTGTGGCTTGAAAAGTTTGATGTATGCCTTGAATCCTCCTTTAGTTGACCCGGGTTCCTGAGGCTCATTGCAGCACTAGACGCTGTCATGGCTTTCGCAGGTGCACGTTAAATGCAATATTGCATTTAGTCAAACTCAATAAGCCGTGACACTTATTTGATGTGGCAGCGAAACAAGGGGCAGAACTTATGCGTTTCCCAACGGCTCCTTGTGTGCAAAACACGGCAATGCTGCAATATATGCTGAAACGGCCAGCGTTGCATGGTATGCTGAATCGGACAGCGTTCACGGATTGCAAGGCTGTTAGAGATGTTGTTGTTGTCGCACTAGCTCGTATATCGGAATCTAAGTACAGCCACTCATTCACGATCTAAACTGGGGGTTCCGCATTGTATTTCTCGCAGCCAGATACTTCAATTAAGCGCATCAAACCGTTATTTCCACGCTTCGGCGCAGCGCCCCCAAGCCCCGTGGGCAAGTTGAGCGTTGGCAATGCATGATGGTTGTGCGGGTGTCCGCGTGTCCAGGCCGGTCGTGCACTAGGATTCGCAACCGCATGTGCGGGTGGATGAGGCCTTGCGCCCCTGCCCCTTTTTTCGCCCCCAAGGTTGCCGTACTTCCTTCTTTGGCACCATGTCACTCAACCTTGCGCCTTTTAGTTTGATGTTGTTGGACACGCCGCAAAGATGAAAACGCATCCACGCGCCTTCGCACATGTGGTATGGCACAAGGTTTTCGTTCTCTGCATGCAGTGTTGAGCGATTGTTGACCATGGTTGTTTAATTCTTGCCCCGTCATTCACAAATGCTCCGCACTGGCATGCATGCGTGTACGCAAGCACCGCAGATGCATACGAGTCCGAAACACACGGTTCCTGGAACACACTGAAGTTCCAGTGAGTGTGATGGGTCCACTAGTGGACAGGCACTTGGCAGCACATTTTCCTACATGCCTGCTCGTACTGCAGTGGTTGGGGGTCATGGATGTCATGGTATTGTCTGCGACAGGGGTGAAGCGCACGGCCTTGAATTTCAAGAACGAGGGGGAGAAGGCCAAGAAGAAGCGCCGAGACAAAAAGGCTCTGAACGGCTTCGACTGAGGGACCAGGGGCAGAAAAAGGGTTTGCGTCGCGAAGCGCAAGCTTGCAAGGCTTTGGAGATTGAGGAGGAGCCCGGGGGAGCCGGGCGAGCGGCTCACGAGCGGCTCATGAGCGACCCTGAGAAGGGCGCTCACAGTTTAACGGTCGGTCCTTCGTCTGAGGCGGGATGAAGCTGTTGATGGGGTGCCTGAGGTGCCTGTCGTGTCAGGCCGCACTTCCTTGTGTCTATGTGTGGGGCTTTTCGTGCCCAAGCGGTCACAGGCTCTGGACGTATTGTCACCAATACCACAACAGTCCATGGCTTTGAGACCAAGTTCAAGGACGAGCTGTGAACTCAGAAGAAGGGCGCGACAACGCAAAAGCTGAACCGGAGCTGTGTGGAGGCTTGAGGTTGGGGATACTCTCATGGTCCATCACCCCACGTCCCTGGAGGCTATGTGAGAGATATGACAACGCATGACGGCGTCTCGGTGCTGAGCCTGTTAGGTGGAGTTGCGGATGGTGGTGAGTGCTAGGTCCTCAGAGCATGTCACAAGCTGTAGCTGCTGTAGCTTTATCGACTCCGTGCTACTGGATACGGCTGCGTGAAGTGATCTGCAGTGAAGCCGTGGGTGACGACAATTCAGCTGATTTGCAAAGGCAAAGCAAGTTTAGACCTTAGCTTCTTGCATTCAGAAATCGAGCCCAATGGCCCAACCCAGCTAGTTCTCTAGTTCTCTGTTCTAGTTGTGATTTTAACTGGCCTCCAAGACAAAGGATGGAGTCGAGAGTGCAGGGTCCGGCCCATTACATTGAGACTCCCAAAGCCTGTAGAGTGGTCAGCTGAGGTCTCAGCACCTCAAGGCATCATTTCCTATCTCTGCTATCTTCCGTTTTCCCAGGTGCTGTCGCAGCGCAGCTGTGTGATCCACCAAGCGTTCTCCAAGGCTCCGTACGTGTCTGTACAATAATGGTTTTGGGCTGGGAGCCTTCAGGAAGTTCCCAACTTCCATTGAATCACGACAGCTCCTCGTGAGAGGCTTTGTTCATAATTGTGAGGCTGAGTAGAGGCAGGGAAGACAAAGGAGGCTCCGCTGACGCCAGCAAGTCTGGCCACAGACATGGGAGTTTCTCCAAACGTAAGATTTATGTGGAAGGGTCTCACAGCGGTCCTCAGCGCCTGTTTGAAGGGCCCTGCTGTCTGAAATCTATTCTTGCTGCACCTTACAGTCGGCCGTGCATTCATGGGGAGTGTGGCAGTGTGGCATACTGAAGCAGCTCCTTGCGAGAGGAAGCTTTATTCATATACCCCGATGCATGTGAGGCTGGGAAATTGGGGGTCTGTGTGCGCGGGATGGCTGACAAAGTGTGCATCGGGGAGGAGCGTCGGGGTCTGGCAGCTTGGGGAGCGCAAATGGCCACCAAATGGCGGCTGTTTGCATGGAAAATATGCTTCTCTGGCACGGCTGTAAGTCCTCTCTTCACAGCGTGGACTTGTCAAAAAGCAGAGGTGAGCAGGGTCCTATCAAGCTTCTTCAAGTATGTAGGCGTTGCAAACTGGGAAGCACGGCAGACATAAGATTCTTCTTTGCAGAGACTTTTGGCAGAAGCGCAGGATTACCCGTCCCCAAAACTAGAGGTTGGAATCTGGATTAGCTGATCAGCATTGGTTTTGGTGCCCCCCCATTGCACGGTCTAGGACGGGTTCTCTGAGGCTTGAAACATGTTCATGATGAAGTGGGGGATGGGAGGTTGTTGATCCAAGCCAGGCGAACCTTTATTTGACCCGTTACAAGTCTCCCCAATTTTCCTACCTGCCGTTTGAGCTCACCCCCATGTCGGTTGCAGGACTCAGCATCATTTCATGACGCTGTCAAGGCCAAGACTCGTAAGGGTTCGGCTGGAGCCACCAGTGACTCGGAATCCGTTCGTATCCGGCAGAAAGCATGAAGAGTCATCCCATGCTGGCGACCAGCTTGCTGATGAGCCACCTACCGTCCTACCCCTTCCCGTGAGGCGTCGGAAAAGCTAAGACCCGTTCCCAGAAGGGCTCCAGCTCGAAGAGTTCAGGAAATCTCCAGCCAGCTCACTACAGACGGGTAGCACGACATGAACTTGTCCTCATGTCCACATAGTGGGAGACATTGGAAGGGTTTCCTGCAAGTCTCGTTTTGAAGCCGTAAATCCACTCCACGGGTGGCTTCTATGGGGGCCTGAAGTCTGTTGCACCTGCAAGCAAACTGTGCAGATTGTATTCGCTACGCAGTGGTTGTTGTGCTTCCAGCATGGTTACTGGCACATACAGAAAAACACTGATCGCGGAGGTTTCGTTTCTTGCCTTTGGCTTTCTAATAAATGAAAAGCTCAGGTATTTCGTTTGGGGCACGCTGCTAAAAAGAAGTTAATCCAAACTTAAACTTGTAGTTCTCACAAGCGAATCGGAAAAAATTGGAGCGAGGCTTTCAAAGTGCGCTCGATTTCTGAGTTTCAATACGTGCAGCTGTTCCGGTGCTCCATGCCGTGTATTTGTAATTTGCTTGAATGTGCGATTATTTGCCACCCTTCAGTACGCTTCCAGGACTGCAACTCCACCTGTGAGCTCAGACCCCAGGCGGTTCGAGTCTTTAGTTTCAGAAAGAGCTTCTGGCAGAGAGGTGTGTGCGATGTGTGCGCAGCGCATGCCAAGGTACCACATCCGCCAGAGTCTCAGCATTCTTCCAGTCAAGCTCCGAAAAAGAGACGTGCGTTGGTAAAGGCAGGGACTCCCTGAAGATCAAGGAGAAGGCCAAGGTGGGGCGAAAGACCAAGCCAAGGCCAAGAGGCCAAGACGTAGCGACGATTCGACGCATTTGGTCCAGGCAGAGATTCAGGAAGACAATCCGGAGCTTCTGCAGGATGCAGCATCCAGAGAGCTGCAAAGGCTTTGCGAATTCAGCTCATTAGTGCGCCGTATGCAGTAAACTGCCACGAGGCAGTTGGACAAACGACTGAAAAAGCAGTCGAAGACAGTCAGCGTCCGGGAGAAAACTGGCATGTGGGGCTACAAGGTGCCTTCAAAGAACTCAAAAGCTGCATGCTCCACAACCGGCTTCGCAGGTTGTCACCAAGAAGCTCGACAAGGCAAAGCGCAAGCCAAACCAAGCGGAAGAAGCTCATTTCTTGAACTGCCTGTGCCCAGTCCTCCTCGGCAGAAGATGCGTTGGATGAACGCTGCAAACAAGGTGCTGCTGCAAGCTGAGAAGCTTAGGTGTGAATTGACTTTTCCAGGCCGCGACAAGTGGTGCTGCATCTAAAGTCAGATCCAAAACGTTTTTCTGCTGCGAGCCGAGTTCTGGTGTGCTTGTGACGTTCTTGGAGCAGGGAGCACGCGTTTTAAGGCCCGGGATGTTGCGCTGTTACTCCATCTCTGCAACTGGAAAAAGTCGGCAGTTTCTGTGCACATTGTTTTCTGCAGTGCTGCCTTTCGCGTGCAAGTCGGTACTCGTATCAAGGGACCAAGTGGGCGGGGCAAAGCCAGCTTTCCTCGGGGGCAAACCCGAGTGGGGGCAAACGCAATGGCAAAAGGCCAGGTAGCATCTTTTTGGGCAACTTTTGGCAACCGTTGCGCTATGCGGCTTTGCTTTCGGCAGATCTGGTGAGGCGGCAGAAGCCTACTTTTGGGCTCTCTCATTGCCTTGGCTCTCGGCCTGGCAGTGTGTCCTGGCTTTTGAGACTTTTCGAGGTCTGTACTTCTCTGTGTTTTTTTGTTCCTGGAAAGTTGCAGGTTTCTGGTGGCCCAGCAGCAGAGCCCTGAGAAGCTCAAAGCACCACGCCAAGCCATGGGCCCCCGGGATTCAAACTCAGTAGCTCTGCGAAAGGTGCTTCTTGGCGCCAGCACCGACTCCGACCGCTGGCAACATGCAGCCGCGGGTGCGGTACCGCGGATGTCGCGAGTGGTGTGACTGCGAAGCCCAAGACGCCCATCGAGAGAAATGCTGAGGCTGTGGAGAAAACGGACCTCGCACTTGCGGCAGAAGGCAACAGCGCTGTTTGCCTTCTGCTTTCCTGCCTGCTTGGGCACTTCTTGGGGAGCATGGCGGTAGCATGTGTCAGGTGAGTTTGCAACGGGCTCCCTTCTCGCCGGTTCTCAACTTCCTCCACTGGAAGGCATAGACCGCGACATCAACGCTCCGCTCACAGCTTCTCCCTTGCTACCATATCTTCACCTAGTTCATGACTAGCGCGGCAGAAAGGTTGCAATGTTCAACAAGAAGCGAACTAAACGAGGACAGGGTTTTGTTAACTTGAGTCGAAGCTGAGAAAAGCCGGTGAGATGCTGCGACGCTGCGCGTCTTCCGCCTTTGCCAGATCGCAGCGAGGGATGGACTGTGCGAAAGAAGTTCCGCAGCTGCCAGGGGCCCCGAAAGGAAAATCATAAACACAGAAACTCACCATGTCCAAAACACTGCTTTGCAGGCTCGCTCCTGGCTCGTGCCTCTACGGTGAAGGGCCGGAAGGAAAGGGGAGAAACATCTCATCTCTCCATACCTTTGCTGTGCTTTGCTTCGCTTTGCTGTGGTGCTGCGCCAGATCTTGAAGAAGCGGATGTATCGCGGCAAAAAAGTTCTCGCGCCTGGCGATTACACCAACTACAAGATGCAGCGGGCGCGGGGGATTTCAGCTGCAATTTGCCTTTCTCTGAAGCGGAAGTGAGCAGGTCAAGAACTTGCGCTGAGAAGCGTTCGAGGCCAGCATCGATTTGAGCGATCTTTGAGAGCCACCTTGCTTTTCGTTCTGCCTGTCCTTGCTTTCTTAGGCTTCAACTTGGTCCTTCTCACATCTTCGCAGGCGACAGCCGCAGAAAAGGTTGCTGCAGCTGCAAGGGCATCGTTTGCATGTGCAGCATGCATGGATTCAAGGAGCTCCTGCATGCTGCCCGCTGCATCACTTGTAGGGGCTCAAGGCTTTGGGCACCCGTCTGGGTAGCGAACTCTACGGATTGCGAGTGCCTTTGCTTGCCACCCTGACAAAAGACAGCACTGCGGGGAAAGCCAAGGATCTGCAGTGATGAGACCACGGATGCCTGGCTACCTCCCCAGGCAACCCACATACAAATCATTAGAAACCTATGCTTCTGTGCTTGTCTTCCTGTAATTCTCGAAGAGGCCCTATGGCGGTGCCCGTAAGGCAAGCAGGCATCGGGTGGACGTGGTTCCCATTCTCCAGCTGGCGGCACAGAGATGCACAGAGCGTAACAGAACCTCTGGCCGGGACATCGTTAGGCTTCTGGGAGGGACATCGATCGCTTCGCATCTTCGGTGAACTTGAGGTGCCTCTTCCTTCCATGGTTGCTCTTCTGCGCTGTCTATGCGCTGCTGAGACGTCCTCAGACTCAGAGCTAAAGAGAGCTGTGGATTTTCTTTTCTTTCAGGTCTTGCTCCTTGCACTTCTACCGGCCCAGCCTGGCCTACACGTTGGTAGCCTTGGCAGCTTTCTTGCCGACCACTCTGGCATGGACATTCGCTGACTGCATGCACTGCATGCCATCCTTCGCCTTTTGACACATGTAGCTGACGTACAGAGCTCGAGCTAGGATCTCTCTGCGCTTGCAAAGCTTCCAGCCTAGCTGGTACAGCTTCCTTGCAGCTTGGGTCCTATGCCGTGGGCTGTGCCGTGGGCTTGCCTGACTTCACACACCTCTTGCAGTCAGGTCACTACGTTGGTCGCTTGGCTACTGGGGGTCCTGCCCGCAGAAGTCAGCCTTCCCAGAAGAGTTGAGTCCAGGCGCCTGAGCCAGGTTGTTTTTGGTAACTTGAATTACGCGGCCACGACGGAGCCGTGCGCCTGCAGTGTGTGACAAAAACATGTGTCGCAACATGGGAGCATAGGGCCAAGTCTCAGGTTCTCGCAGTACATCAACATGGACGTGCTCCCGGAGGCGAGAAAAAGGAGAGGATGAGGAGAAGAGAGCTGCTGCAGTTTGCTGTTGTTTGCATTTGTCTGCATTTGCAGGTGAGCCCCACTGTCTGGGACGGTGAGGCGGCCATGTCCGTGGGCCGTGTTTACTTTGGCAAGGACTCGGCTTTGGACGTCAGGAGCGGAACACAGTGCCGAAAGATTTGCTACGATTCTCACGCTTCTCCCCTGCAGGAGGTCCATGGCTTTTAAAAACGTGGACACCTACTGCGTTGCTCCAATTTCAGTCCTCCAAGGTCTTTGCCTTCAGACGTTCCGCTCCCCTCCTCCACTTGAAAGCCTCAGGAGGGGTCATCCTCCCGCTCGAGACCTACGATTTCTGGGCAATTGGGGTGGACTGCTGTTCCGTGAATGCGGCGGACTTCCACTGTGGTGCGCCATGTTGTTCACTAAGCGCGTTGTGCACTGTGTTGTGTTGTGAGTGAATGTGAGTGAGTGAGTGTTTTAGTAAAGCTACGCTTCGCCTTGAGAGGCGAAGCCCGGAACCCGGCGGCCCACAGCGGCCTGCGCTTGCTGGACAGCGAGCATCGGAGCTTCTACCGCTTGGCCGTCGAGCAGGTGCACAGCACTGCAGTGACACAGTGCAGAGTGCAGAACAGAAGTGTTTTGAGAACGCGCTTTTCCAGGCTGAGGCAGCTTATGGCCTCAAGGCGCGGAGGGTGCCGGAGCACAAAGGGCCAGAGAGCGGCGAACGGCACACGGCATTCCCACTTTTCTGTCAAGGCAAGGCACCCAGTCTTCTTCTACTGGGTGGAGGATGCCACTGCAGAGATGGACTCCTTCCGAAATGATGGCTACAAGTGACTCGCTGCATTCTTTCGATTCCGCCAGCATTTGATTTCCAGAGATCTGAGGTACTTTCTGATCGGGATGCTGAGTCACTTTGCCTGGCAGTGACCTGGATAAAAGTAATTATTCATCATGCGCTGCTCCATGGGCCTCCATGTCGCAAAGCGCGCTTGCCACTGTTTGGGGAAGGGCCATTGCAGACGTGCGGGCGTTGCGTTTAGGGGCCAGACTCTCTTCTTCCTCGATTCGAGGCCTTCAAGGGTAAAGTTGAGAGAAGAGCCTCTCTTCTAAAAGGTAATTTTAATTCGTTCCCTTTGTTAGTGGCTTTTCAGTTCCCTTTGATCGGTGCTCTTCCACGTCGAAGCTCCAGTAGCCGATGTGACATGGGATGTTAAGAATGCTAAGTTGCCAAGAGCCGGGCTTGGGAGGAAGCAGAAGCTGAGGCTGCTTTGTGTGATCTTGGCTGTAGCCGCCTTCTCCAAGTGGGGGTATTCCTAAGTCAGAGATGGGTGCTGCAGCGCAGAAAGAGAGCCTTGCCTGCGGCTTGCATGTTCGCATGTTGCGCTGCGTTGCTGGGTGAAAGCAGCTGACTCGGACAGCAACACGGCGTGGCTTAAGCTGGCATGCCCACCTCGGCAAGAGTGGTCAAGAATGGTCAAGGCTTGCTGGTATTCTGTGCGTGTCTATCAGCACTTCAGTCAAATAAACTATGCCAATTGGGTGGCTCAACTTGTCAAGACTTGTACTGGGCAAAGAGGACTTTTGAGTGCACCGTTTGGAATACTAAGGTGATCTTTGTGTTGCTTCAGACAGCAGCCCTCAAAAGAGTCTTGGTTAATGGTAGTGATCTGGCTGCTGCAAAAGACTCTTAGCAGAGCCTCGCTAGTGCGTTACAAGAACAAGAGGGTTGCAGTTTTGCGCCCGCGTGACCTCCACAGTGAACATCCTGAGTTCTTGTGCTCAGCAAAGGATGTGTTGCCAGACTGCTGCTTTGTCTAGAGACTTCTCAGGAGATGAATTTAGCTACTGGTATTCGCTAATTCGGTGTTCTCTTACCTGGAATGTCAGGTCCACAGGTAGCTGATGATCGCGGGATCAGGGTTGCCCATCTTGCGCGCGTGTTTGAGTTGCATAGGCACTCCGATATCTTTTTTCTCGTAGTTGTTGCCTGCAGGGGCTTTCACAGTGGGCCGCCGTTCTGCAATCTGAATTTTAATTGCGCTGTCTGGATCTCACGTGCGGGCTTTCGGACGCGGCTCCACAATGTACCTATGGTCATACAATGTCATACATCTTGCTTTCATGTCCGGACAATCTCAATCTTCACAGAGAGGTGAAGACAAAAAACAATGGACGCACAATTTTGGGTTTCCCTTCACACAAGCCCTATGCGCATGCACAAGATTTGCGCATCGATACAAACCTAGGCACCAGCCCATCACCCGGGGAGTCTACTGGAACGCCCGGAACCTGCAACCGTGCAGCTCCCCCAGGGCTCAACACCGAGATGCTCAAACATCTGGCTGCCACCCAGTTGGTGTAAAATGTAAAGTGTAAAGACAGGCTCCATACGTTCCGCCGTGTGGAGGGTCAAGAGGAAGGGAGAGAGAAAAAACAAAGGCCATTTTGGCTCAAGTCTCCCTTGGCCTGTGAGGAAGCCCCCGGCGCGGCCCGCAACGGGAGTGGAGGTCTCTCTGCTCCTGCGGCGGGTGGACGCCGCTTGGGGGGGGGGCTTGGGCGTCTCGGGCAGCCATTTGCCAGCCAAGGGCGATTGCTCCACCTTAGTACCCACCCTGGAAACATCCCCTGGTGTACCGCCTCATTTCCCTGTGCCGAGCCTGCGACTTGAAGAGCCCGAGGGTCTTTGCGACCCCGCGCTGACCGCTGTGGACTACCACTACGGCACTTTTGCTCCCGTACGGTGGCCATGACGACGAACCCTTCCGGGGTAGCAGCCCTGGGGCCAGCGGAGGATATGCGGAAGGCGGCTGCCACCCCCATAGACTGCGACGTGGAAGAGCTACAAAATCGTCCAGGTGTGCTGGCCAACGGGGATTCCCCGTCAAAACGCACGCGCTGGGACGTGCTTCCGCAGGCGGCAGCGAGCACAGGGGCCATGCCGTTGACACTTGAACAGCTGACCACGCAGTTGAGTGCGGCACTTGCTCCTGTCACAGGAGGAATGCGTGCCCTGCAGGACCGAATCACCAGCTTGGAGAGTGAAGTGACCAGCAAAGTTGGGTCAGCACTGCAGCTCATCCAAACCGTGGACCAGCGCCAGAAGGTGATGGGGACGCAGCTCGAGGAGGTGTGTAGCAAAGTTGAGACGCAAGCACAGCAGACGCGGGACCAGGAGGCCACCATCCAAGAAGTGCTGCGCAGGCTTGAGACCTTGGAGCAAGAAGGACCTGAACGTAATCCACCTGTTTGGAGGTGAACGACTGCGACTTCCCCGGAAGATGACCGAGACCCAGCAGTCATTGTCGGCGGATGGGGGCCAGACACGGACGCAGAGCAAGCACTCAAGGAGGTCCAGGACTTTATCCGAAGTAGGGCGATCCCTTTGCCGGCTGAGGAGGCCTTTGTGCCGGGCAAACAGAGGGGTTTTGCAGTAATTAGTCCCTTTGTCGTGTATCGGGAACGAGACAAACCAGATGATGATGCGGCGCGTTGTTGCTGCAGTGGAAGCTACCAGAAAACTCCAGGCCAAGTCCGGACACAAGGACTCTGAAGGCAAGGACATGGTCATCTGGGCGGCGGTGTCCCAACCACCTGAGGTTAGAAGAAGGGCGAAGCTGGTGGCCAAGACGAAGCGAGCCGTGTTAGAGAGCTACGAGAAATCGGGAAAGAACACCGGGAACCAGGAGTTGACGGTCAAGGCGGACTACCGACGAGGCACACTGCGTCTAGAAGGCCGAAAAATTGGGGGATGCTCCCTGCAACCGGCGGCTGGTGAGATATTGGTCTGTGACCACGTATTCACACAAAGGAGTCGACGCAGGAGTTCGCTGACCGCTGGCATAAGCTAGTGGACATGATCAGCTGAGACTTTTCGCGCGGGGCTGACAGTGAAGAGGAGACTGCTGAGGATGCATGCGTGCAGAGTGAGGAATTCGGAACTGAAAGGAACATGTACAGACACCTTTGGGGGGGGAAGCTCCTAGTGAGCCATGCGCTGCCAGGGCTGCCAGCACAGAGCGACCCAGGCGGGCGCCCCGCCGAGACGACCGGCCAAGCCAACCCAGCAGGGCAGATCGAGCGCCTGTGACAGGCAACTTGACGACTCATGTGATGTCGAATCGGCAAACCCGGGGCAGAGTCGGGAAGACAACCACGGGGATGCCTCCAAGACCTCTGGCACGGCTGTACAGAATGCCGGAGATCGGAATTCACCTACAAGGCTAGCTGAGCGACCGGTGGAGCATTCGAATGACTTTGGGAAAGAAGAGGGCCAGCCTGGACACTGTTGCCGCCAGCCTTGGTAGAGGAACGCACGAGGAGCCAAAGCATCAAAAAGACATCCGGACAGGCCGAGTGCACAGCAGACCCGTGCAGAGACACCTGAAGAAGAGCAGACGCAGGGAACGGGGCCATGCGCAGGAAGCCCGCTTTGACATCAGAAGCAGGCGCGCCAGAGGTAGGAGTCGCGGTAAGGTGGCTGGAAGCCAAGGACACGGGAGGGGGGCAAGGCAGGGCAAGGAAGTGGAAGTGGGATAGGCCCTCGTTCAAGAGGGGGGAAAGGGACAAAGCGCAGCGACAGGAGCCGCGCCTAGACCCAGACGCAAGGTCCTGACCTGGAACCTGGGGGGAATGCAGATGGAGAGACTACCACATATCCTAGGTAGCCTTATTGGTTGTGGAATCAAAGATGTCGTCGTGGAGGTGAACATGAATGCAGGTGTGCACTATCTCAAGGCGGGACCTGGGGATGACGGATGGCTGATAGTGGCAGGCAAAGAGGAAGGGGAGTGGAGGGGTAGAGCAACGGCCGTCAGGCGCCGATTTGGGGAGTGGCGCACCGCCAGACACAGCCCAACGCGCTTGGAGTATGTGTGGCTACGGAAGGGGAAGAGTTGGGGTCTTGAACCTGCACCTCCCGCCGAAGGCAACCCTGACGGAGACAGGTGCTGGTGCATTGGTTCCACATGTTGGACATGAGCGCGCCCCCCCAGCAGATTGGCATGCCCTCCTACTTCCCCTACAATCAAGCACATAGGCCCAAAAAACTTGACTACGTGCTGGTGCGAGGGGTTACCAGCGCAGAAGGAGGGGGGTGCACCCCATCAGGCAGATGGCAGCCAGTGACCATGAAGGCGTCAGCGTTGTGATTCTGGAGGCAAGGAAACAACCGAGAGCAGATCACGGGGTCAACAGGCACACCAAGCATGGGCCGAAAGAACTCAAGCCGCAAGCAAAGCTTGAGCAAGTTCTCCGAGATACGACACAGTGTCGTGGAGACCCGCAACGGGCCATCCAGCAGATAGCGAATGACATCGCCCAGCCGAGAGGAAACTACCGAGCATACCGAGAGAGCAAAGAAGTCAAGCAGCTCAGGACTCGCCCCTCTCCAAGCCGAGGAGCGGGCCCGCCTGGTCCGTGACACATTGCCTGAGCAGAACAATGCGGAGCCGGCCCTAACGTTGTTGGCCCTACTAGGGGAAGAACCTGACTACCCCGAACACAACAACTGCAGCGCAGGCGAGGAGACATCAGGCGAGGAGATGCTGCACTACCTTGCAGAAGATGGTACAGCGCATCACCGCAAAAATCCAGGCCGAGAATGGCTGCGACCCTTCTAAGGCTGTGAGAGGAGGGAAGCTGGTGCAAGACAAGGAGGCCGCGCAGCGCATAGCCAGAGCTATGCAAAACGAGGTGGGGCCAGGAGGCTCCCCGCTCACGCAATCGCTGCTGGAAAATTGGGGCGAGGACACGGACACGGGCATCCTGGAGCAGATTCTGAGCAGCCTGTCGAGCCGAGGAGAGGGCAGAGCAGCACAGAAGGCATTGCACCAGATACGGGAGATGAGGCAGCCGCAGAAGAATGAGCGAGCAGATGTGGGACAACAAACGCTCATGCAAGCTTGGAGCAGGGCGGTGCTGGACCCGTCGCACTCAACGAGCAGCAGGGACATCGATGACCCCAGCACGGCGCACGTGAGGCAGCAGCTACTAGGGCTGCAAGAAAGCTGGCCAGACTTTGGAGAGCAAGGCCGACGGGCCATCATGGAGCTGTTGGTCAGTTCCCTGAGCGAGGCTGTACTGCAGCGAAACGCCCAGCATATAGCAGCTGTATATGCAGGGGTCTCGGAGGACACGCCACCACAGCACTTCTCGAGCTCCGCATTCGTCTGCGCAAGCGAGGCGTGGAGGAGCGAGTGGCCGGGAAGCAAAGGCTGGAACAGGAGAAGCCGAGGACGCAAGACAAAGGAAGGCAAGTGGGCGAAGGAAAGCAGCAGGTGGAGGACGGCCACGAGGAGCGTCGACCCGACGCACAAAACGAGGAGGCAGTGAAGAACAAGGAGGGGCGAATGACGAGAGAGCGGGCCACGGAGGAAACAGAAGCAGACACGGAGGGGGAGGAGGAACAATGCAGAAGACAATATGAGGAGATGCGGCGAGAAGAAGAAGTGATGCACATCGCCATGTATGAGGCGTACGAAGAACAGATGGCCATTGACGCAGAAGAAGCCTGGGAAAGAGACCAGGCCAACAACCATGCGGGCTACCGTGCGGCCACGGCGCTGGACGAAGAAAGCAGTGGAGAGTCTTGAAGGGCGAAGGCGCGGAGGCTGGAGCGCAGGCGCTGAGCTCGTACAACGGCGGCTACTGAAGCAAGCTTGAAGCCGCAATAACCGGTGGGCAGAGGCATAATGGGCTCCTTGCTTGTTGACATTGTTCCCCCTACTTTATGTTCCAGCCTCGAGGCTGTCCGCATCGCAAGCTGCCCTGCCACCCTTTGTAGAACAGTGAGCAATTTTGAACGCTTTAGCACCATGAGCGTACCCAGACAAAGCTGGGTGAAGGTGCAAAGCGAGCGGGCCAACCACAGCCTGAGGTGCAGTCCTGCGAGATCATGGTTGCTAGGGGGGTAGTGGGGGGATGCATAGTCTTAACACTGCCTGATGCATTGATGCAAGTTTGCACAGAGGGCTACGTGGTGGAGCCAGTAGCCGCAAGGACCTGCAGCGCTGTCAGAGATTAGTTTGTTCGAGCTAATTGGCGTCTCCTGTATTGAGTGTCTTCGGGTTGTGTTGGGTGTAGTCGGTGGTTTCAGGTATCTTGGCAGGACCAGGTCTAATCCAACAAGTTTTGATCCTGGCATCAATCCTCAGAACGGCGTGGAAGCCAATACCAAGCTGCCTGGGGCGACCCTCGTAACAAGAAAGTCGTACAGAAGCAGCACCAACGGGGGGGTGCAGCCCAAACATATTCGTATCTGCTTGGAACTTTTACCCCGAGGAGATGCAGGACCAGTGTTGAGGCAGACCACCCCACATAAACCATCTTAATTCATTTACCTTTTCTGCGTTAGGCTGGGCCTTGATTGCCTCTTAGTTAGTTGGGTCTGTGTTTGCAGAGCAAAACCAGGGGTGCTGCCACAGCTAAGTAGCCACGCCTGCAGACGACGTCATGAGCACGTGGTATGCGGGGGGGGGGGCCGATTTCCACTGCTGCAGATCTGATGAGGTTTGTGAGTTGCCTTGTAAAGCCATGCGTCCTTTATTCAGTTGAGTGTATTGCACGTTTGGAGGTTTGGATAGGGAGTCAAGGCAAAAGTTGAGCAGCAGCTAAGTGTCACAGCTCTCAGAGAAGGAGAACGGAGGAAGGCGAAGGGTCTACTTCTTTACGTTGGAGCTTTGCTTTTCTGGGAGCGCCTTCCTCTGGGACTCGTGCCTCGAGAGTACCGACCAGACCTGAACCTTGGGCGCGGTGCTGCGCGCCGGGAGGGCCGTAGGGTCCTCCAACGCCCGAAGAAGAAGAAGAAGAAAAAACAAAGAAGCGATTGCAACACCTCCAGACCTGAGAGGGTCCCCGAGGTGAAAAGGGTATGGGGTCAAGGATGGTGCACACGCAGCGTGCATCGAAGTGGGACTCAGGGCGGACAATTGCGGCGTGCAAAGCGGACACAACGTCTCAGTTGTCTCTTTAAGACTCTTTTGTGCCATGTGTTTCATGTGTGTAAAGGCTGTTATTTGCGATGTGTGCCTGATATGTATGCGGTTTGCAGCTTTTTACGCATAGCTGCCCGGTTGAAGTTACGGCAGCAGAAGTGGCACATCAAGTGCTGCAGTTTTTTTGCTTTCACCTCCACTGCTATGTCAAAACGGGCACCGACTTCTGGCTCAAGGTGAACTTAAGGCTCAACTGTCCCTGCCAAAGTGTAACTGCTGTGCTGTGAAATTGTGGTGCGTTGACTGCGTGAGAACTTGAGACATCTGCATGTTGCCTAATCGCTTCCCCCTAATATTACGTAACCCCCCTTCTATTGAATACTGTACGGGTTCGCCAAAATTCCAAATCCTGAAATCTGCCCCCAAGACTATTTTTAAAAAGGCCAAGACTAAAGTCAATAGCGGCTCGGATCCTCTGAATTAGGGGGGTTTTGGCACGACTCTTAAGGAGTAGGGATGTCCTTAATTGCCTGGGTTTTGATTGTCTTGAATGGGTTTTATAAAGGAATGTATATAGAAGACTTCCAGCAACAGATTCCAAGGCCTTAATTTGGATTAGTCCCTGTAACAGCCCTAATTTGGAATAGGCTTTAATAGGGACCGAATTTGAACTAGTCCCTAATACAGCCTTAATTTGGAATAGTCAGTTGTGAAAACACGATTCCCGTAGCAGCTCAGTCAGGTCTAAGTAAGTGTAGTTAGTAAGTGTAGTTAACAGTGACATGTACAAAGCT